GAAAGCCCATGTACAAAAGCTCAGGAGAAGGCAACATAAATCACAGACAGTCACTTCCCAGCACAAAATAATATGAAAATATTTCATCTACCTGCATACAGACAGACAGGAATACTGGCAAAGGTCAGACACCTAAAACTACACTCGCTTCCATTCTCCTTTTGAGCAGTAATTAAGCACAAAAGCCTCCAGTAATAAAATACTAAGGATACAAAATTTAAATTTAAAAGCATATTAATGTAACTTTAATTTCAATATTTCTACACACACACACACACACACACACACACACACACACACACAAATGCCTCAGTGTTCACTGTCCCTGGCAAAATGTTACCATCACCATCAGAGGTTTCCTTTTCATCTGAACAGTTAAATGTCTTTCTCACCCTTCACAGGAGCAAGATATGCTCCTAAACATAAAGATTCTCAATTAACTCCATCCTACTTTTTAAATTTACTAGTCCAAATCTGTAAGTAGAGTCTATGAAGAAAGCCACAATCCAAAACTTTAAATTTTTCAGTTTTTACACAAACACACACACACACACACACACACACACACACACACAAACGCGCGCAATATTTAAGCCTCTAGAACTGAGTACTCATTTCCTCATGCCTCTCTAAATTAGAAAAAGTGATGTATATATGTACTTAATACTAACAATGCAGCAATGTACATTTCACTGTGAAGTAAGCTAGTGAGAGTAAGAATTTTTCAGAAAGTTAGCAGAGTCAATCAAAACAATCAAAACTTGAGCAGTGACATCTGTTACTCCACATGTTAAGTCTACAGAATAGTCCAGGAACTTAAAATATTCACAAAAATCAAATACTATCACAAAAATGGAGAAAGAAGAAAACTTTTAACAGGGGACACCCATTTCACAGTATCTTCAAAAGGAAAAAATGATTGCTGTTTGAATCCTGGGTAACTGCCTAGGCAGCATTTTTTAAACAAAAGCTTCAAAAACTGTAACAAAGAGATTTGTGGTAACCACGGCAGTATTCAAAAAAAACAAAAATTCATAGTGTCCAGCACTGCACTTTGAATGCATCAATTTCCTAATCCATATGGGAGGAGTTGGCATTTTAAAGCAGAACTCTGTTCATGTTTTAATTGGTTCTTTATCTCCGCAACTTGGTCTCTGTATTGATTCTGGCAATTTACAAATAACTTTCACATATATTATTTAATTTGATCTTACTGAAAAAAAGTACAATATCATACCTACAAAATTGAAAGTCCATCAAACTTTCTATCTATTTCTAAATTTTCAAAACTTTGATATAAAACTTTTCAAGCAAGGACAGGAGCATATTTCTACTGATAATGCATCTAACACTAAGCATTTCAAAGGACTGTGTACTGTGGATGCTATTAAACTGTTAAAGTAAGCTACTTTCATCTTTATGCAGTTATTGGTGAGTGTTACAAACAGGCATAGCAGCAACCATTAATACCCACAGGTGTAATGTTATTTCCTCATTTTTTGTTTTTGTTTTTAATTTTTTTTTCCTTGAGACAAAGTCTTATTACTATGTAGCCCAGGCTGCCCTTGAATTCCTTCCTAAGCCTACTAGGATGACAGACCAAGTATTGGATTTACAGGAGCACTCCACTTAATTTCACATAAATACTTTCACAAAAACTGAGATCAAAAATCTGTCTTTGAAGGCCAACTTAAAGATAGCAACCACATCTGTAAAGTCAAATGCCTGAGATGGTATCTAGATTAAAATCATTGTCCACAGATTCAAGGACAAACTCAAGGAAAATCTAAATTTTTTTTTCCACTTACATTCCCTCTTTCCAAAAATTCCAACTACTCTATCCCTTATCTACATTAATAGTATAGGAATGTCTGCAAAGTGTAAAGCCCTACATCGTGCTACTTATTGTTTATTGCAACTGTGAAGGCTGTTTTCAAATTATATGTTCAACACCCCACTCAATACCAAACTAACTCCTCTTTGAAGGAAAGTAACCCCAACAGCACTCTATTCCTAACCCCAGCATCTACAATAACAAGCATAAGCAAGGTACAGAGCAGATATCAGATAGCAAATGTAACTTATTAATAGTATTTTTTGAATGCACTTACTCAAAATCTTCCTGGAACTTTAAAGTGTTAATCCTGTTGCTTAGCTAAAGCAGAGTTTCAATGAGTAGTAGTAAGACCCTCAAAATTTTTAAAAATTTCCTGTAACTTGCTGCAGCACCTCCTGCTGGATAGCACTAGAGATCTTCAGGTAAACAGAAGAAGAATTTCTGAGGCAGCTTCTTCCAGGTAATGGAACATGAAAAGGATGGGCCTTTCCAAGCTACAGGAAACAGTGCCCCATCCATTCACTTTTATCTCTTTAAAATATGGCATGGGCAGGTGTCTTTTTAATTATTCCAGCTCCTTGAAGACTTATCGAAAGTAAGACCACCATAAAGCTTTCAAAACTGCCTAAAAACTCATTTAAAATGTCTTCAAAAGCACTTAAGCAAAAAAAAAAAAGACTTCAAAATGGGCAGCCAAGCAATGCCAGTCAAATGAAAATATTAGGTTACCAAAATCCAAAGTCTCAAGTAAAGAAAAGCCCTTGGAATATGTGTAACATGTTAGCCAGATGTTTGTGTTGTTAAGAATGTCTGCACTATTACTGGGTTCCCTGCAAAGATAGCTGGACGTTGCACTGAAGTGCTAAGAACAGAAAATTTTTTAATAAACATGAGCATAACTACGCTCAAAAAATTCCTCTTTGCCATCAAAATATGTCCTAAGATTTTTAAAAGGCATTCTTCAGACATTTTAAATGCTAGTGTTAAACTCACAACACAGATCCCATATACAAGAGAGGAGAATAAGAAGGAACTTACCGAAATTAAAATGAATAACAGTATTCCCAGTAAAAATGCAGTAACGGTTTCCTACAGGGCTGAAAACCAAGTAAATTGTGAAACTTTGAAAAAAAAAAGGGGGGGGGGCTAGCCTTCAAAACCCAATAGAAACGCTGACCTATTTATTTCTACTGCCCAAACGTGAGGGAACATGAAATGTAAACAAAACTGAAAAGTAGGCTCCCCCATCTTAGCCTGTTTCAACCCCCTTAACAGGCCCTCAATAAAGCTGCAGACGTTGATGCTGAATAACCTAACAGACGATACCACCTACTCCGCGCCCCAAAGAACCCCTATAAAGGATGCCTTCTTATAAAGGCTTCCTTCCTAGAGTGCACAACTGCTTAAAAAAAAAAAAAACTAATCAGCCCAAATGAATCTGATTCTAATATTCAGCTATCACTTATTAATAAATAAATGCTCTTCTCTAACTTCCTCAGCTCAAGCCTCTACATTCCTGACACCTACCATTAAGAAAATGCACAACTAACAACCCAGCTATGGGGCAAATCTTTGAAATCCTAAACACAACCACAAAGTTCACTGTCAAGGCCGGTGCTGAGGCCCACACACGCCCGGACCTTCAAATCACATCAAATTCTAGAGATCCATACTCCCAGAGACATCATTTAAAAACAACACAGTGTGGACGTGCAGAGTGAGATCCTCTACTTCAAGACCTAAACAAAGAATATTTCAACATATGACCGGAATATGATGACACCGGATTCACTCATGAAAACAAAACCTGCCTACCACGAGCCGCCGTACCTTCATCTCAACTACTCAACTACTTAGAAATCACTCCAGGCACATCTACACCCCATAACCGGCGTGTGGCCTCCTCCCGGGGTGCAAAGCCAACCAGACAAAGTTAAAGGGAGACCTCCTCTCCCGGGTGCCCCAAAGGTCCACAGCAAACCCCTCCCCTGCCAGGACCACCTTGCTGTTACCCACCATCGCGAACGTGGCCAAAGGAGAAGGAAAAAAAAAAAGAAATCCTAAGAGCACCGCTCAGCAGAATAAAGACGAGAGGGAGGATGACTAGAAGTGTTGGGAACTGCGTGCACGGCGGGGCTGGACCAAACGGAAAGAGTCCCACTCCGCGCGCCCCTCCCCCCGCGGCCGGGGGGAGGGGCGGCCCCTCTGCGAGCGGCCTGTGAGTGCCCGGCCCGCGCGGGGTCCTGGGGCGGCGGGCGGCCGGCGGCGACCGCGGGAGGGCCGGGCCCCGGGTGAGGGGTGCAGGCAGACTCCGCGGAATAACAAGTTGCAGAAGAAGAAGAATAAGCGGAATTTCCCCACCGCTGCTCCGGCCACCCTAGACAAATGCACCAACACACACACACACTCACACTCATACACACACACTCGGGCCCGGCAGCGTCAGCAACTGCATTTTTTTTTTAAAACCAGATCCTCCGGTCACCAAACAAGATGGTTTAAAAAAAAATATCTTCAATTAAATAACCATAATAAAAACTTCCCCCCGACAGCATCCCAGGGTGGGGGGTGGGGAGCCCAGGCAGCCATCCCCCGGCCGCAGGGATTCGGCCCCCCGCCCCAGCAGCGGGGTCCCCCCCTCCCCAGGCCAGGCCCCCCGCCAGGACGACGTGTCGCCCCCTCGCCACCACCCCCGAAGCGCCGCCCCTGTCACCCGCTCCGGCCCTGCACTCAGCGCCCAGGCTCCCGAGGCTGCTCATAAACTTACTTCCAATCTATCCTAGGGAGGGGTGGAGGGCAGAGGGGAAGAAGGGGGAGACCAGGTTTTCCCATTGTCTTTTTTTTCCTGGGGGGGTAGGAAAAGGGCACACGGGGGGGCGCCCCAAAGGGGAAGTTATTGCTCAAATCTCAAGTTGACTGAGGGGTCCTGACAAACGAACACCCCCTTTTCCCTCCTCCCTCCCACACACCCCTCCCCTCCCCCTACCTACCCCCCTCCCACAACAAACTCCAAGCAAGCAGCCCCTGTTCCTTCCCAGAGACAAACACCAGAGACAAGACGGGGGTGGGAGGATGGGGGGGGGAAGGGGAGGGAGGGGAAATAGAGCTACTCAAGAAAAAAAAGAGAGGAGAGTAAGAGAATGGAAAAGCTGGGATACTGCACCCTCCTGCTGCTGGCTGGCTGTCCCCCCTGGCAGCTGGAGGCAGGAACTCTGAGCAGGAGAAGCAGGAGGAGGAGGAGGAGGGAACTCTTCTTCATGGGGAGGGAGGGAAGAAGCTGGCTTGGCTGCTGCTGCTGCTGTGGCTGCTGCTGCTGCTGCTTGCTGCTCTGGGCCTCTCGCACTTTTTAGATATTAGTGTGTTAAGATGGTAGGTTGTTCCCTTCTCCCTCCTCCTCCTCCTCCTCCTCTCCTCTCTCACTCTCTCTCGCTCTCTGTCTCTCTCTCTCTCTGTCTCTCTCTCTCGCTCTCTCTCTCTCTCTCTCTCTCTCTCTCTCTCTCTGTCTCTCTCTCTCTCTCGCTCTCTCTCTCTGGGCTGTTTCTTTCCTCCTCTTCCCCAGGCAAGGGGGGGTTGGGAGGAGGGGGGGGAGGACCTGGAGCCTCCTCCTCCTCCAGGAGCGACACACTCGGGCCCCGGGCCGGAATGGGGAAGGTGGGATCAGAGCATCAGGAGAGAAACTGTGGGAGACAAACAAGCCCAACTCTTCATCCTCCTCCTCCTCCTCCTCCTCCTCCTTCTCCTCTCAGCAGCAGCAGCGAGCACCACCAGCCCATTCACCACCCGGCCCCGGGCCGCAGCACCTCCGCCGCCTCAGCCCGGGGATCCCTCCGCCCAGGCCCAGACACACTCGCCCGCGCGGGAGCCCGCCGCCGCCGTGCGCG